AAAAGTCTACTCTAAAACTAGTCATAAATTCAAAGAATTTGTCCTATAATATAGGCAAAGGATAAGTTTTTGGTTACATTTCTGTAAGGAAGAAATTTAACATTAAAATGATAAATTGTAATAAAAGGGGAAAGTTTAACATTGATATTATAAATTGCTTTACAATGAGATAGTTTAACATTAAGGAAATGGAAAAACAGTTATCATTTTTATGATATATGTTGGTACATAGTGATTTTATTTAACTTTAACCATATCTCAAATCAGTATAAAAGATGACAGAAAAAATCCATGCATTACATCAAAACAATATGCTTATAAACATAACATTTCTAAAACTCAACAATATCTAAACAAACAAAAAATCTAACTATAAAACTACTTAAATTATTGTCATATTATATCATCAATGTATAAAATTGTGTTTGGATTTCTGTATGATACTATTATGAATAAAATGTATTAGTTTAATCTATTGTTATAAAAACTGGAAGTTTAACATCGGTTTCATAAAATTGCATTGGAAAGAGGTAAAGTAACAGTAGAACTATGTACGGAGAGTGCTAAACATGTTTTTATTCTTTTAATAAGTTTAAAACAGTTAACATTAACAACATAATTAGGTACATAGTCTTTTAAAATAAAATTTTATCAATAGATATTGATGGTTATGCTCCAGTAATCTAGGGATTGGTCAACTTTTTGTTTTGGTAATAGAAATGAATAGATTTCTAAGGTCTAGGAATTTAGAATACATTAATTGTGTAATAATGATGAAACCTTTTATGATAGAAGATTTAAACTTTGACAAGTAAAAATCATTTAAGGTTATTGGATAGTCATGTCACTTAAGGGTTTAAGGATTAAAAAATGGAGATGCCAATTTCAGTTTCATAGGGAACTTTAATTGATTAATGAAATAGCACACTTAAATAAATTTTTGGGTAAATCAAAATGTACATAAAAAACATATGAAACTTGAAAAAATATATATAATTTTGGTCATGGTATAAGAAAAGGAATGGTTCTTAAATGTTTAACAAATACCATATAGTTTAGTGTTTTGCTTAATAAAGTTGCAAAAATTCTCGCTTATACTGAACGTCTGTGTTACCTTAGGGTAAGAAATGGATTAGGATCATAAAGGAACTATCTAAACTTTAAAGTGTATAAATTTAATTTTGTGACTTGAATTGTGATTTGTCTCATCTTTATATCATGTGTGCTATAATATTATACAGAATAAACTAGGAAATTTTAATTGGATCTTTTTTTAAATAAAAATGATTGGTTAAAAGTAAGGTTCTGTTCATTTATATCATAGTTGGAAACATTCATGTTATGCTTTGACATGTTTGATGACAAATATAAACTGCCAGTCATCCATAGGGTAGATGCTGTAAATATGAATATCACTATAACACCTGTCCATTTCAGTACATTTATGTGAATTTCATATTGATGGTACATATTCATTAAACTTGATGTGACACTATTCTGTGGTGATATTGAATTGATTCTGGTATGAGACATGGTTAATTTAAATAGTAAATCCTTTCTGTTAGAATTCAAAACTATATATAACCTTATAGAGTTTAAACACACTTTTATAAAATATTGTTGAATTGTCAGTTATATATTTGTATTCCTGATTGGTTAAACAGAAACACCCCCCTTTACCCTAAATTGGTAAAAAAAAAAAAAAAGAAAACAAATTGGAGTAAATATACATAAGAGAAAATCTTATCACTATATATTCTGGATGTAACAAATGGGACATGACCCTCAAGTACAAAACTTAGATGTTGGATATATGGGTGTCAAACTTGTATAACATTTAAAATCAATTTAACCTCCTTGACATTTGAATGTTAAAGTCTGGGGGTTATTTAACTCCCATATCATTGGATGTTATGTGGGTGTTGGAAAGGTTGGGGTTAATTATCCCCCATATAAGATGGAGGTTGTGTATCTAGGGGTTCAAAATATAGGGGTTATAATAGGTATTGTAGGGGGGTAAAGAACCCCAGTTAGTAGTACTGTGATCACTTGCCTGTCAACCGGGATAAAGGGAGATCGTCGCATCCGATCATGTCTGAAAAGGACAACCAGTTTTTCAATACAAAAGTAGCTGGTTCTCTCTGGATACATTGGTTCTTTAAAAACAAATGGCCAACGTGATATAGCAGAGAGTGCTGAAAGTGACACACACAATCAATCAGTTATTTTAAAATTACTTCTAGACGTTTACCTACCATAGATCATTATTGGCAAAAAAAAGTATATATATACCAACTGAAACATACATGTGATGAAAAAATATACATTCAAAGAAAAAGAGGTGCACCAACAGAAATAGAATCTGCAATCTTACTCTTAATTTTATCGAATCTCAAAATTTTAACTCTTACTAGAATTTTCACTCTAACTCATAGTATATATCGAAAGTTTCTAAGTGTAACTCGAGCTTTAACGAGAACTCTTATTCAACTTATATTTCAACTCAAAGTAAAACTCGAACTTTAACTCAAAATGTAACTGGAACTCGAACTTAATCTCTTAATCTACCTCAAAGTTTAGCCACATCTGATAAAAAATTAGTTAGATAAAATGCATCAATATGTCCACAGAAAACGGGATACCTGTAGCAAAACAGGAAAAAAATCCAGATCCGTTTATTACAAATTAAAAGAATTTTTATTACATATCAATATGGCGATGTGTATTTTATTGTCCAGTGGCGGTTCCATAATTTTTTATAAGATGGGGACTACTGACTGTCTAGTTATGCGTCAGTGATCCCCTATATAATCAACCAAATTTTTCCCACAAAAAGGGGTGGGCGGGCCCCTGCCCCGCCCTTTGCTTAATCCGCCTCTGTTGTCAGTGTGTGTTCACATTTATCAGATGCATTGCATTACATAACATACCAAAGTAGTTCGATTGATCGAACGGTAATAACAAATACGAAATCATAAAGCTTTAATACTCAGACGATGAACATTGAACAATATTACAATGTATGTACAATGAATATGAAACGATGCATGTGTAGATAATCGAACTCAGTAAATATTGGTTGCCACAGTTCGAATAACATAAACGGTACAAATTGTTCTGCACCAGATGCGCATTTCGACAATAAAGGTCTCTTCAGTGATGCTCGAGGCCAAAATATTTGAAAATCCAAAGCTTATTAAAAAGATGAAGAGCTATAAACCAAAAGGGACAAAAAGTAAAGCCAAAGCCTGGCAAGGAATCAGAGCTTTGCATGAGGGAGATACATTCCTTAATTTTAAATAATTTTCAAAATTTTGTAACAGCATAAATTATGCAGCGTTGTGGAAGTACGGAAATTTTAACCAATTGTAAGATCCTTTCGAAAATAGTGTCATTTAAGGTTTTTTCAACGTGCTGAGTTTGTGTCATTTTTTTACGCAGCATTTCAGGTTTTATCTTCCCGGTGCGAATGGACAAGGCAGTGAAATTATTCTGCCTGCAGTCAAAAAGGAACGCGTTACTTTTCAGCAGATACACTGCAAGCCGAAAATAATTTCTATAATATGGCATGAGGCAATCATTCGTTTTCCTCGTACAACAAATGCAATCATAAATAAAAATGAGATGACTTCATCTTTGACAATTTCTTTATAATAAACTGTTACTTTATGTTTGTTTAACGATTCGATAGATTGATAAAAATATTAATGAATAATCAAAATACCTTAAAAAATGTTCAAACATGATATTATAGTTTGTAGTGAAAAATTTTGATTCAACTCAATGCAAGTGTTGCACAAAATGCGGCTATACCAGCAACGTCGTTCTATAACGTTAAAAGAAAAGATATTTCCCGCCAAATTCGATAATATGATAATTTCCTTTTTAGCAGTTTTAAAACATCGGTGACCCCCCTTTTTTATTTGTGCTTTTAAAATCTTCCCTGAAGCTGCAACTTATGCAGAAGTTTGAAGGAAAAAACATTAGTAGATTTTTTTTATTTTGAGAAAAATCTAGAATAAATAGCAATTAAAAATGGCGGGAAATATTAAAAGGCCTTGAAACATATGGAAATTGAGACAAATAAATGTTTTAAAGGTACAAGTTACATTTGACTGTTTTTATTATCACAATTAAACATCTTTTTTTAATAATTTTGCATTTTTTTAGCAGCTTAGAGCGCTATTTTTATATTTTGGTTAAACGCGATTCTTTAAGTTTTGATGACGTCATATCTAGAAAACAACATCGGTGACCCCAATTTTTTTTTCGCCTAAAATTTCGTAATAAGTATGATCTATCTACATGCAAAATTTCAATTAATTATTATTAGTAGTATAAATAGTGTGATTTCCCTTTAAGTTAATATTTAAGCAATATTTCGTTCTTTGTAATTAAGTAAGATACATGTAATATCTTAAAGTTGGTGTTTCCTGGGTAAATTCAAAGCTCGTGTAAGTCTCAACAACAAATCTGAAGTGGTTTTCATAAAACCTTATTAACGAAGAAAACACTTATTATAAGATTATCCTGAAGTATCAAGTACCTATAAAGTTCAAAGTAAGAGAGATTCAATGCTTTGGGCTGTTTTCTGTTCTTTGGTCGGTTTGTTGTCTATTTGACACATTTCCCGTTTCAATTCTCAAACTTATTGGTTGTTGAAAATGTACAAACAAGTATTATACTACGTCATTAGCTTTTGTCACCAATTTTCAGAGGGAGCATGATCGACACCTAGCAAATATTTTTGCTCCATATTGTGTGAGGCGACATTTTGAACATGCAGTTAAGTGTGAGCTTTCACTAAGAATAGCAGGCCTATACCTCATTCTGACTTTTCAATTGAGAAAAACATGAAAAGCAACAAAAACGCAGTTCTTTGGTTTAAGTTTTTTGTGGTGGGCTAGGAGATTTTGTGTCTAGAATTAATGTTCTGTACTCATTCTTGGTCTTTTTATTATGGCTTTGTTTGTTACATAGTCAAGTTTACATAAATATACCTCTGTATCTGTTAATATGTAGATTGTTCCATTTCCAGTCTGTAGGTCTACAATATTTTGTGATCCTGTTATTTCATACTCTACGTCTGCTGTATATGACTCAGAGGAACTAATGTTCAACTGTTAATAAATGTATATGTGTATAAAAAATTAATGTATAAATAAATGAAAATGCGATTAACATTAAATAAAGATATGTAAAACTTTGAAAATATGATAAAAAATAAAGAAAGATAAGAAAATCTTATGGCAATTTTATTATCATTTGTATCAACATACACATGTATTGCAAGACAGTGTGTCTCTACGTGCGCAAATGTTCTTGCTCTTTTTGGAAAAAAAACCACATTTTTTTAATTTTCAGATGAAGTTGATCATTATGACGCCTGGTGATTGAAACATGCATACATACTAATAATGAAAATAATTGATTTATATACAATACATGTAACGACTGTTTAAAGGTAGTAAAAATTGTATAGTATTTTTTTTTCTAAATCTAGATAAATGTTAAATAAAAAGTAAAAATATAAAAATTCAATGATGATCATTTATACAATTTCATGTAGAATTGCAAAACAAATGTTTTTAGTATTACATATTAGGTATATGTTGGAATGAAGTTTTCGTATGATATCAATATCAAAACTGAAAAAAGCTAAGAGGGAATCCACCTGATTTCGATTGGTTCCTTTGTTTTATCAAATCATTTATTTTTTCAACAAGAAAATTACACGTACTTTAATTACCTAAAAAGGAAACTGAACCCGTACACAATGTAATAAACGTCATGTAGTACAATTCATCATATTTCGATTGAACAATTCAAATTCTAAATATGTACGTATTTTTAATACACTTATAAGATACTTGAAACAACAATTGATATACATAATTGTCTTTCTGAATGTGAAATGAATTGATCACAGGTCCTTTCTTAATAAAGACGATAACAATAATGATAGAGGAAAGGAGGAAATTAACATCAATTGTTTATACAACGATAAACCTTTATCTTTTTGTTCTTGACACATATTCTAAAAATGATTTTTGAGTAAAGAAGAAAATTAAAATAAATCTGTCAAATAATGCTTGTCAAATACAACTTAAATAAAATGACGTATATTTTGTCTTATCTGTTTTTGATTGTTTGTTTTTTGTTTTTTGTTTATTAAATTTTGTACAATGTATAAATAATATAAATCAGTAAATTATTGTTTTAGATTTCCGTGTCTACGCAATACAATTTAAACAGATGATAAGAGTTTCCTTGTATTTGATATTTCCTTTTTTTCAAAGAAGAAAGTGACCAACAAACAGGAATTCTAAAAATTTCGCAAAGATTTAAATGGCTAAAGTTTGATTAACTTCTTATTTTTTTTCGTCGAAGAAATATAAATAATAAATATAAACAAGTGTTACCTTAATAATATGCCCAGTATTTGTTCCTGCAATCAGCACAATGTCATTTGAATCAACTGCTGACAGATGACGTAGAATTATCCCTGTTGTGTTATAAACTGCACTTGAGACAATGGGATGGACTCCCTCGATTGTATGGTATAGAACAGTGTTGCAGAAATCTCCTTTGATCACATTACAAACCTAAAATATAGGACACCACTATTGTTTTCTTCATTTTTGTAGCGTAAAGCTAGGTTGAACAGCATACAGCCCAGTTATAATTATAGTGAGTCTTATTTCTAATGTGTAATTGATTAGGTCTTTGAACGTAAAAGTAAGATTATTGATAGCCTCAATGTCAAATTGGACCTGTCGAGATGAAGAACAGTAGTAAGACAATAAGAGACAGGGGGCGGATCCATGGTTCGAGGAAATAGATGACATAATTGTGCTTGAAAATAGCGAACCTAGCGAAGATGGTAGCAGAATATACAATGCAGGGATGAATATTCATTCCAAGAACCATATTCTTGTTTCAATTGACGTGAGAACATAGCTTTTTATTTCAATTTCCAAAGCAAGAATTTATGACGTCTTTATATTTATTTTAGCAATTTTAAAACACGTTATCACAGACCCTTATACACTATAATTTGTAATAACACAGGAGATTAGGCACAGGACAAAAAAACCCACAGACAGTTTGATTTAAAGAACACTGTTAATTTTAGAAAATACTATACTAGTAATGTTGTATTCTGAAGTCAAAGACCCAACATTTGAAAAATAAATGTATATATACGAGTCATTATGTACTGCACTGAACAACTAGATGCTTACATTATATTCATGTCTAACACAATCTTACCATCGATTCATCACATGTCTGGTTTTTCAAATGGATACACGTTTTTGACTGCCAAGCTGAAAAAGGATCCGGTTTCAAGCTACGATTTTTCCATCCTGTTTTCTGATTACAACGTAAGATATTCATTCGCGAATCTCGGAAACGTTTTGCTAGTTCTTCAATGCTTAACGAACAGATAACGCTTGATTTCAGATTACTGAAAGATACAATTATTGTTTCATTCTGTACCAACCCATCTTCAATCTTCGTGTAGTTTACGTTGTCATGATAACATACAAGAGGAATATCTTCATACGAAGTATGAAAACCATTACTGGAGTATGTATGATGGGATGCACACATTTTGCCCAGCTTTGCTTCAATAAATTGGTCTTTTAAATAAACATTATACAAAAAATAAACAAACTGTTGATGCACAAAACCGGCTTTGTACCTCATCTGCAAGCGGTTCTTGTTTTCCTTATAAATCAAATGGTACACAGTAGTACTAGAATACGAAAATTCATCCAGACTTCCCATTTGTAAGCTGTATATAGTTTTGGAATCTTTGCGGTTAGTGAACGACTTAATACATGGTGCTGCTATTATAATTCCCAATTTCTCCGATAATCTACATTTTAAGTATAACGGAGGTGTGTTAAGATCGACCATAAATCGCTCAGACGTTTTGTCTTTTTTTTTTAAATTCCGGGTTAATTTATGACAGTGACTTTCTCCGTCTCCGAGAGAGGAACATACAATCAGCAAATTTGTGTCATCATCAACAAGTACTGCCCATACATTTTGTACCGAAATGAATTTAAGTTCGTTAAAAGATGTTTTGTCTAGTTTAACAAGACCTAATTCTCCACCTAAATACACATAATCTCCCTCTATCAACAGGACGGGCCGATGACCAATTTTATATTTATCATATACATTTAGAGAGAACGTATACGATATAAGCATCCAAGCTAATATATAAATCTCTGATTTCATGGTTATCTTTCGACCTGAATGACAAATATTTTCACGCCTCTTCAATACATACATAATCGAATGCGTAACATTTCCGTCCTTATGAATCATTTTATTATTTTGTATATTTTTCAAGGAACAATCGAAATTTATTTTAAATACAAGCCAGTATTGCTTTCTTTTTCCTTGAAATAACCAAAAATATCACATTTTTTCTTTTGACAACCTTGCTGTCGCATTGCTGTCGCATTGGTGTCACGATATCAACAGAAAATATTCTACGAGCGATGATATTCACAAAAAATCATTACACAACCCTTTTATTGTATAGTAAAGCTTGCCAAACTGTTGCAACATATTCTTTGTGACCGAAGACTCACTAATGTGAAGGTTTTTTTTTCCATCAGCGCAATATGATTTATTTTTGCATGCAATCTTGTGACGACTTTTTGAATGAAATATATTTGTATTATACAATAATGAATAAAACTGTCATTAACAGCATAAAAACAAAATAGAAATGAAATACGGACTGATGACATCGTGTAGAAACAATACGTCTCTGATAAATATCAGAGAAGAACAAACATGGTCAGCGGAATTATTTGGTTGCGAATCATTGGAGTTTTGTCAAATTCCAAAAAGAAGCAAACAAGAAATAAACAAATAAAAACAAATTATTAAATGGATTATCATATTCACTTTTCTACTATCAATTTTTACTAATCATTACTAACGGTTTTTTCTATATCAGCGGTAGTCCTTGCTTAATCAAATGTCTTCTGTCCGATATGAGACTTTCGGTTGATATAATATACCAGAACCAATATGAAATACCAAAAAATATACTTATTATTTGCCTCTAGATCATATATATGTCGCTCATATGACTGATTTCAACCTTCAAGGTATTAGTTCAGATGAATAAAATTGTCAATTCATATTTGACGGCTGATAAGGAATGATCGGATTGAAGGTCAAGAAATTTGAGCGCCACTGGCAAAAATAAAGATATGTATGCTATGGCCAATACTTTGCACCAGGTAATCTCAGAACACTCTAAAGAGGGGATGTCTCAAACAATCAATTGCAGAGAGTGTGATACTTTTCTTACACGAGACATCGGATTTAATGCCTCATTTTCACCGCAGATAAGTATTAATTTTGTACATCCAACGCAGCATACGGGCTAGCCTTTAGAAGGTTTCACCTATGATTCGATCATTTAAGAGATTTCCATATTTCTGTACGCTATTTGACCATTGAATTCACATGTAATAAAGTTTATTTGATGCACCGAGCAAATATATGTACATTATGAAAAGAGGTAGGATAACTTCGCATGGTTTTCTTCCCTCACAAGGACAAGATATTAGTTAATGAAACTTATTAATTATAAAGCAGTCTGTATCATATAATTTAAAAACAATTCAACAATTTAAAATTTTCTTTTTACTTCCCGGTTATTCAGTGCACCATATTGCTGTAGAAGACGGTATAGAAAATACGTGTTTCCATGGCCATATAATATAGATATAAGAAGATGTGGTATGAGTGCCAATGAGACAACTCTCCATCCAAGTCAAAATTTATAAAAGTAAACCATTATAGGTCACAGTACGGTCTTCAACACGGAGCCTTGGCTCACACCGAACAGTAAGCTATAAAGGGACCCACAAAATAACTAGTGTAAAACCATTCAAACGGGAAAACCAACGGTCTAATCTATATAAAAAACGATAAACGAGAAACACTTATGAACCACATCAACAAACGACAACTACTGAACATAAGATTCCTGACTTAGGACAGGTGCAAACAAATGCAGCGGGTTTAAACGTTTTAATGGTACCAAACCTTCACCCTTTTTCTGAAACAATAGTGTAACATCACAACATAGAAAGACACACTATAAAATATCAACTGAAATAGCTTAACTCAATCAAAGGACATATTAACACCATTGAACATACACTGAACAAATAAATTTGACCTATGACACAATGTAAATACAAAATAAAGAAACTTAGGGAAGAATAATAAAAGTAACATGTTATATCGGTAAGAAATATTAAACAATTGAAGAAAAACAATATGCTCGAACAAAAATATCAGACATTTGCAATAACTTTAAACACAGGTAAATGAAAATAATTTTGTTGTTAGGTATACGTTTACAGTACCAATAGAGAAAGGAAATATTTTTACAAAATAAATAATTTTGATGTTCATAGTACGAAATGAAAATTTATAGTTATACCAAACACTTATCAAAGCTGGTATATAGACCAGATATAGCCCTGAATAACATTAATTAATAAAATACCAATACAATTAGTATCAACAGGTCAAGTAAACAAGAAAGTACGATTTGAGAGTACTCGTATTTACTGACAGCTAGTTAAAAGCCAAAACAAATAATAATAAAAAATCATGCATCAGAGACTAAAATCAACTAAACACATCCCTAGGGATTTAGTATTTTAACGTCATGGACAGTCAAAGAAGACATGATTAGTGCAATGCCAAAAATAAATGTATAGACAGACAGTAGGATAGTTAGGAGTTTAACCTCTTTATAGATCTAAACGAACGTGGGTGTGTCTTTATACATCCCACTTGAAAAAAAGTACAAATTTAGTTATGTTTTAATTTGCTGATGACAAAATCGATATTAGTGCCAATGTAAACTATATTCAAAGATCTAATTACAACATTGGTAAGATAACAAGTTTGTTTAAAGGTTCGATGAGTTTACACGGATCCCATAGTCATTTAAAACTTTATAGAATGACTTAAAGCATATTCAAGTGTTAAAAAATGATTTAAAGAACACATATTAGTTTTTCTATATATGCACCATTTGTTGTATTTGAATATATAGAAAAGATAAACAAATGGATAAGAAAACATTTTAGTTCATGTATGAATTATCTTTTTTTAAGATAACAACATCTCATCAAAAACAAATAATCATGTATCCAACATACAGATACAAACACACAATCACTGCATCGACTGTGGTATGATATTTCTCCTCTTGTGAAAGTTTAGTGAGTATAACGAGTGTTTACATATTTAAAATATTATTGTCGAGAATAGAGTTATATTTTTGTCTTTGAGACACCACAAAAGCGAAAGCAGAGGAAAGCAGTAAATTTTTCGTTTTTATTGAACTTTGACCCGTTAAAAAAGTGCAAACCACACGAGAAACTTTTAAATATAAAGGCATTTAAAGGAGAAATATTAAAAAAAAAAAAAGCAACGGTAACCTACATTAATGCATTAATGATTTTTACAATTGAATCTGGTTAATATATATTTATATGCGCGTCAGTGTGATGTGCAGGATAAACTTTTCATAAATTTTCTATTATGGTTTTCAGGTTTTAAAATTGTGTACTAAACAATTAAAATAAAAAAATTTCAGAAGACGAAAGTAAAATTTTTACTATTTAAAAGAAGACAATATATATCATGTGTATTTAAAACAAGAAAAATAAAAAAATAAGGAATGACTGTAATATTTGTTCTGTCTATGAAGAAACAACATAAAATGTGGTGCACACTGAATAACCCGCATAGCGTGCTATTTGAAAGTGTGCACCACATTTTGTAGGTAATTTCGAATAGACAGAAAAAATAAAACAGTAATTTTTTTGATAATTTAATTCTAAATTCCATTTTTAAGCAGTGAATTTTGAAAAAAAAGTTGGTGACGTCACGGTCACATGATGAAATTATGTCTATGAGCTGAAAGACAAAACACTTTCAGGCAATCAGAAGACATGTTACATCCAAAATAAAATTATAACATGATATATTCATGTAAAGCATATTATAAAATAAATTGACGATGGTTGGTCAGAGAGACACGCATTACCGTGCAGACTTGTCTATAATCATCTTTTTATTATGTGTACCAGAATACCTCTGATCAAGAATGAAATGAATTGGTGTCCAAGCATATGTAACAGTTCTTGTTTCTAAAAAGGTTGTCTTAAAAAAAACTATTTCTGTTTCTGTAACATTTATAACTATTCAAAGCAATTTAAAAATAGATTGAGTTAGACATTGTATCTGCGCTATTTCTGTTGAATCTCTTTAGAGGTTTACACCTCTCTATACATTTTTATGTTTCATTAAGGTGTATAAGCGTTGGTCATAAAACATTTCAATAAAATCCGGAAATGTGCTTTCATCTGACAGTAAGAAATATCTACGCGAGAAGAAATCATGCTCGATGAGTAAATTAGCATATCTTATTCTGAATTGAAAAATTGCAAAACGAAAGTTTTGAATGTTTTGATGATCAGTAGTGTTTGATTTAAATCTAGTTTCGGGGATAATTTAGCACGTAGATAGAAAAAAAATCTTTATAAAAACAAATACATTTCATATTTGATATGGATATATTCCAGTAATTTTGTTTAGGTTCATCATCTGTTGAAGGTTTATCTCATTCCGTTAGTTTTCATATTATTTGCAGTTAACGGACGTAATATTTGAGTCGTTGCGTTAATTCGTTGTATAAACCGGTTCCATATAATCCTCGGATTGAGTAAAGTCATTAGAAGATAGATGTGTACTTGCAAGGTTATCAGTATTCGCCACTTCTTGATTAAGGTCTTCAGTATTCGCTTGTTATAGCTGATTATACAGATTGGTTGCTGATATCTGTCTTAGATCCGTCATATCCTGAAGTTACATCTAAATAGATGTTTCTATTGGAGTTGCTATTTGATTCTTCCTCTGCATCTATTTCATCATAAACTGCGTCGTAATGCTCAACAAATTCCATCCTGGCATGAACAAATGGAACAATTTGTAAGATAATGTTAGATAAAAACAATATTGTAGATTATCAAAATCTTCAAACTTTTGCTTCATTTATAGACAGACTACATTTTGAAAATGAAACCAGAAAAAAACATTAACAATAACATTCCAAAACAGTTAGATACTGGAAAGTAAATATATTTTATATATTAAATGTTTGACGTTGAAAGTCATTGTAAAATGAT